GCTGGGAAAGTAGCGAGCTTGGGAGCGGCTTGCTGGAGCGGCATGAGCAACCCGCGACGAGAGAGACAAGATCGGTCCTTTACCAACTTTTAATTAAATCCCGGTTTAGTCTGGTTTGGCTCTGGTTTAATATGATCAAACCAACTCGAGTTTAGATCTCCTATATATAGTTTTAGACCCCAAAAACTCTAATTTATCTTATTTTCTCTCTAGAACTTGTTTCTAATTGTAAAAGCTTGAACCTTTTTATCATTTTAAGGAAGTATTTCATCTTATATCTTGTTTCTTATTCTCATTAACATGATTAACCTTGATTCCATCATGGATTTAAGGTTTCTCATGGAGATTAAAGAGTAGACAATTTTAGAATTCATGGGTTAGGTAGATTTAAGGTGATTAAGTGTAAATCTAAGTGTTTCCTTGTTAGTTGAGTGTGTTTAATGCTATTCTAGACTTGATCACTCTAGGATTGAACATTAATCATTTTCTGCCCACAAGGTGTATGTTTAAATGACTGAACCAATTCTCCTTAGCTTTAAGACTACCTAGCCAATGACCATTTGTATCTAGGGGTTTTAGATAGTTATTAAACTTAATCTTAATGATTGTTTGAATTAATTAAGCCAATGACCATTTGTGTTTTATTAATGAAAGCAAATGAGCATTTGCCTAGACCTAGGACTTGCTTAGCATTGTTGTTTAGACTTAAGGAACATTTTGATTAAAACTTTAATTGCTTTAGATCAATTTCCTTATCCCATGGATTCTACCTTATCATTTGATTAAAAGTAGTTCTTGTGATTGTTTCTAGATTGGATTTGAGATCACCTTGTTTATATTTCTAGGAACCTTAGCTTGTTACAAATCGAACTCTCTATTTGCTTAGATTAGGAAAGTTTGTGTATTCCTAGTGCTTAGATCACTAGTTCCCTGTGGTTCAACAATCTAAAATACTACAATCGATTTGCTCTGAGGCATAAAAACCCTTATCATCTACACGGCTCCAGTTCAGCATCTTGACTCCACATGGTCTTCACCACTCAACACGACGTCTGCCTCAGCAACTACGTCAGCGACTACTTCAGGGCGGACATCTTACATCTTCATATTCTACCAATTTTACCCAATAGTTGAAACAGTAGATACGATGTTCCCACAAATTCAGATAAAAATATAGTCTAAGAAGATATGTTCAGGCATGGTAGATGCATGATTATTTGGTAGGAGTAATGTTTTACTAAAACTTTAGACCATAGATGAAAGGACGGATTTCTCATTCTGGTTTCGTAGATGTAAATGTTTTTAGTGTATTACGCATTCTATGCTCTTTAGATTAATGTGTTATTAGTAGATCGTAAACTCTAAACCACCGTAGATGGTAAATCTGATTTACTAACACATTTATCCTACTTTTGAATTTACTATTCCAAACATTTTTTTAATCCAAAAATATTTTTCATATATATACATGCTTATCTACTTGAAATTTTATATTTTTCTTAAGGGACAAAACTTAAGTTTTTTTTTGTCCCTTATTTGTAAAATTTCTCAATAATAGACTCTGATTTTGGATATGTCTCTAATAATCCCTAATTTTAAATACTTTTTTTTGGTAAGGACCCCTTTTAACGACCCAAAGATGTTGGTGGTCTTAGTTTTACCATCTTACTAGGTGTTTTGCCCGCACTTGCGGGTATAATTCTTTTATGAATATTTATTAATTGATGTTTCATTAATTTATTACTTATGTTTTCAAAAAGTACAAATCAAAAATCAAATAATTATAAATGATAGAACTCAAACATCATAAATGTTTAAAAGAATATATTTCTGTAATTATTTTGCTTGATTATATTTAATTATAATATTTTTACAAATATTTTTACTTAATTTATATTTAATTATAAATTTTATATCTTAATTTTTAAATTTTATAATAGAAAAGCATATTTTCAAGATAACAATAATGGATAACTTATTTATTTTCTAAAAATATAATATGATAAATTCGTTTTAATTATATAATAATTATATAAGATTATAGAAATGATGACATATAATTAAAATTACTTAAAATCATGGAGAAGTTAACAAATCAGCAAATTCACTTCTTAAATAGTTTTGTTTGAGTGATGATTTATATTTAATTAATCATAAATAATTTTTCTATTTTACTTTTAAATTTAATAATATAAAAATATATTTTTTAATTGACAACATAATACATAAGAATTATTTTCTAAAAGTATAATATTATTAGTGTAAATTTATTTTAATTATAGAATAACTACAACTTCTTATATCTTAATTTTAAATTGCTAATAGAAAAATATATTTCAAGACAACAGCATAATACGTAAGAAGTATCCTATTTTTTAAAAATATGATACCTTTAATATAAATTTGTTTTAAATATAGAATAAATTATATAAATTAGGATAAAATATCAAAGTTAACTAAAATCATGGAAAATATGATAAATCAGTAAACATCCATTCACTTCTTAAATAATAGTATAGATTTTTTACATGTTAATTTTAGTTTTTATAATAAAAATATATTTTCAAGATAACAACATAATACATAAGAATTAACTTATTTTCTAAAATATCATATTATTAATATAAATTATTTTTAATTATATAATCAATAATAAACAAAATTAAAGAAATTATGATATATGATTAAAATTACCTAGGATCATGGAGAAATTGATAAATCAACAACTTCAGTTTTCAAATAATTGTTTTGATGATTTATATTTAATTATTAATAATATAATTTCATGTCTTAACTTTAAGTTTTATAATAAAAAAATATATTTTCAACATAACAACATAATACATAAGAATTATCTTATTTTAGAAAATATAAATTATTAATATAAATTTGTTTTAGTTATATAATAATATTTATATATTAATTTAAAATTTAAGTTTTATATATAAAAAATATAGTTCAAGATAACGACATAATTCACAAGAATTATCTATTTTTTCTCAAAATATGATATATTCATATAAATTCATTTTATTTATAAAATATATAAATATTAAAAATATGATAAATAAATAAAATTACCTAAACTTATGGAGAACATGACAACTAAGCAAATTTACTTCTTAAATAATAGTATAGATTTCTATGTGTAAATTAGTCGTTCAAAAAAAAAAACCATTTTTATTAAAATATGATTAATTTTATAGACTCTATTTTGAAAGACCTCCATTGTGATAGCCTTATGTTACTGAGTGAAGATCGTTGCTCAGGCCGACGGGAAGGTGAAACTGAGTGCCGTCTGAGACATTCCAGAGGGCGTTTGAAACGGTATCCAGTTAAACACACAAAACATTGAACTTGAGACTTAAGAGTTGTTGAAGTTTCAAGAGCTTGATGTTAATATTCAATACCGATTTGGTCTTTGATGGTTTGGCTAATGACAGATGTTAATCTTAAACGACATCCTTCTTCGTCTTGGTCTGATCATAGAAATGCAAAAGATCATTTCTGCAAATAGGCTGTCTATATCATGTTCTAGGTAAACAATTATTGTGTGTTCAAAAAAAAAAAAAAAGGTAAACAATTATTCTATGATTCGAACTGTTTCTCATTCCAGCAATCTTATTGAAGACAAAATGTATATAAAATTAAGAGAATCACACTTTCTCATATTTACTGTACTAACAGGCATCTGGATATTCACAATTTCACAGAAGATTTATATATGTACAAGTGACTTCTCTCTGTATTATTTTATCATGCAAAGACTCATTGCGTCTTTTTATTTTCTTAGCCAGTTTCATCAAATGCCATCACCTGCAATTAATAGATAGTAAACTGGGTAAGGATACGTATATACATTATAGAACTGATGTTGAGTTCTATACGATTTGATAAACTTTAATATCTATGAAGGAGATTGATGGTACATTCGACCAAACTTCAAGTATAGAAACATTTAAGAACGCAACAAGATACCTTTCCACAGACGGGGCAGGTTTCACTTCTCTCCATCCATTCATAAATACAGCTTAGGTGGAAATGGTGAGAACACTTTGTGATTATCTTCGGATTCTCTGGCGTGTAATCTGCAGACAGAAGATCAGTGATAACCAAATATTACTTCAAAGTACTCTCAACATCTATTTCAAGTTAAATTACAGGACACAACAAGCAACCTAATCCTCTACTTCATTTTTAACTAGAGGTCGCAATATTATTGACACAGTTTCATCCTACATAATTTGACAAAAGCTATCCAAAGAACAAAGACTATTGATGACCTGATTGCTCAAGAATGCATCTCTTTTATACTCTTTCTCATGAGGTAATGAAGTATGAAGTGAAACATATAAAGTGAATTCAAAGAAACAAAAGGTACCATCAAGGCAAGTTGGACAGATATCATCATCATCCGAATCTAGGTACGAAAGCTCTATCTTCGACTTTTCATAGATGGGTGAACCTTTTGAATAAGCTTCTTTCGAACCATCTTCGTAACCAGACTTGTTCCTTTTGGCTCCACCTCCCGAAACTTCAGAGCTCATTTCAGTATCACCTCTTAACGGCTCTGCTTCTTCACCCGAATGGCTTGAGCCCTTAGCAAAACGGAAGTACCTAGGATCAGCATCATAAGGCAACGGCCTCGGAGGAGAATGATAGACATCAGACAGAGACGAGTCATCAAGTGAAGTTGTGGAATTCATCACTGAAGCAGCCTCAACAGTTGAAGGTATTGGATGCATTCCACCTCTGTTAAATATCGATGCATACTGCATAAAAACAGGTACATAAAGCAATAAGTAAACTGTCAGTTGGTAACCAATAAGTAAAAAATATTCAGAACTTACCAAACCCATGAGACTCTGGAGGAAGCAGTTAATGCAGGGACAGTTCCTAGACATGGAAGTGTTTGGATTCGCATAACTCTCAAAGAGATCAACTTGAAAGCAACAACAGAGAGCTCCCATGTTTCCAAGCAAGCAGATGCAAAGTTAAAATGAGCGAGGAAGCTAATTCAACAGAAGATGTCTCTCTGCCTCCAGCAAAAGAAAACAGAACCTCTCCCTCTCTTTTTGTGCAACAACTCTTGTTCTGTAAGGGACACATATTAAAAAAAAAAAAAATTGAATCATTTGGATCAGCTAATACATATCACAAACAAGACAAGTGAAAAATGATTTTTTAACACTACAGTTGTTTGAGAATAAAGAATCATTTTTTATATATTGATCATCAAAATCAATCCGATATGGGATTATAAGCTGATCAATTAGCTTTAGAACATAAGGGTTTTTCGAAACCGATCCTCTTGATCATCAAATACAATTTTTATTAAAGAAAAACAAAGAAAAACAGAGGAATCGAAGAGCACCTTTTGAGATAAGAGGCCTGAGAAAATCCAGAAGCAGGGAGAAAATTCAATGAGAAAAGTTTCCGAGGTGAGAGAATCTGTTGACTAATTCGTCGATTGGAAGGTTCTCTCAGTTTGGTCGTAAAAGTGCAAAATGATTTCTTTCCAGGAACGATCCTCTCTTCGTGTTTTGTCTTCTTCTACCTTTTGATCGATAGGTTTTTGGTTGAATTAAAACCAGGATAACAGATTGTTTTCGGAAACCACCCCTATACTTTCACCTATATTTTATTTTTACCTGAATAGTTATAAAATTGAAATATTGCTACTCCAAATTAACCCCATATGTTTTGTACTTAAACCAAACTCAACACAGCGTATACTAATTACCCGAATCTGACCCAGTTAGTTTCAGAAATCATCCTTCTACTTTTACACATAGTCCTGTTCGTTTGCTTGCCGCAGGTTCTGCGGCTGCGGCTACGGCTGCATCTGTTCATTTGGTTAATGTTCATTTTGCACATGCAATCACAGACGCATATTCAGTCATAGTCACAGAGTTGTATTCCTTTAATAGATATAAGATATTGACGCATACGCTATGCAGAAAGATGATTTATGATGTTCGTTTGACAGACACTACGATTATTTTCATTTAATTTATGTTTTAATTTAAAAATTTGTAAACTTGTATTTAAATAAATAAAATATAGTTTAAATTTGTCAAATTTTATTTTAATTAGATAAAATGCAGTTTAAATATATTTTATATCTACCAAAATATTATATTTAATTGGTAATAAATTTTGTAGTCAAATATACTAATTTAACAACCTTTTATCATAAATATAATAAATAAAGCAAAGTCTTAAACCAAAAATAATATATCAAAATATTTAATACAAAGCAGAAGCTAAATAATACATCAAGTCTTAAATAAATAAAACAAAGTCTTAAACCCATTCTTTAACTATAATATTTAATACGGTAAACGACCTCTACCACATTCATTTGTGATGTTCTTACGCAAGACGCATGACACTGGCGCAAGATGCTGACTCATGAAATAGATTATGTCCGTTTAACAAACGCGGTGGCTATTGTTATTTAATTCATACTTTAATTTTATAAATTTGTAAAATGGTATTTTAAACAAATAAAATATAGTTTACATATATTTACATCCATAAATTAAAATAAAAAATAATATCACAAAAAAGCTAAATAATACATCAAGTTTTAAATAATTTTTTTTCCAAATATCACATAGAAATAATAATTTAAGTTATAAGTAAAGAAAAGTCAATGGAGAAGAGAGAGCTTAGAGATGAGATTCCATGGAGGAGAGAGAGCTTCGAGAAGGGATTCCATGGAGAAGAGAGAGCTTCGAGTTGAAATCCCTGCGTCTATTGTGATGTGGCTGCGTCAACTAGGGTTAATTTTTTTTTTTTTGTAAATAATAGGATAAGTAGACGCAAGATTTTTGAGTCAATCGCTAATTTTTCCGGCGTTCAATTTTTATTGACGCATGAACGCAGCATTTAGACGCAGACGCAACAACGGCGTCAACCAAACAAACAAGATTTTCTAAAACATTGACGCCGACGCAGCCGCAGGTGGCTGCGTCAAGGAAACGAACAACACTATATTTAATTTTGACATGCACTGATTAAATATGTTTTCTACTTTTGCACATACTTAAAGCTATTCAAATTTGAACCTAATTGTTTTCTACGGCATTTGCCAAAAATGACATAAAACCTGATTTTAAATACAAAAATATTATTCAAATTCAATCAAATACAAAAATAATCCAAAACGGCAGTGAAATTACAACACTTTCTTCTTTATGACCAAATAACAAGTTTGTAATCACTTTTACGATTATAAAGGTTTTCTGTAGAAGTCTTCTCCTATATTTAATTTTAAACATAGTTTATAAATTTATAAAAATATTTTGATGGGAAATAAATTGAAATCATGTAATCATAAAAAAAATCTAAAATGTTTAAATTTTTACTTACTACACTTGAAATTTTTTAACTTAGTTGAGTCAATATAGGTTGTTAGTTATTTTTTGTCTTGGTTTAGGATTTGGAAACATATGTTAGTACTGTTTGTATCCTTAGCGTTAGATTTTAGAATCGTAGCACTACAAAAAAAAATTGACATTGTGTTTAGTTTTGTATATATTAAACATATTATAATTAGTTATTTGATTTTAGGGTTTAGAAGATTCTTTGGGAAGTTTATACTACAATTTATGCACAAAAAGAATTATTGGCAAGTCTTCCAGAACGGATAGCAACTTATGGTTTAGAAGACTTCTAACGGAATTTATGTTAGAAGACTTCTGAAGTCTTCCAAACCAATTTTTTTTTAAATTAACTCAATTTTTATTTCCTCTCAAATGGCTTCTATAAAAATATAATAATTTTTACTCTAAATATCTCCAACCACTCTCCAAGCTCTTTGAACTTGAAGACACCAAACCTAGTATTGATTTTTCCTATTTTTCTTCACGCTACTTTATCTTGTTTTTTTTCAGGTATTTCATTTCATGATTCTCATCTTCCATTTTTTTAAAGATAGATTTATAAGTTTTGGATATGTAATTTGTGTGTGTTGATATGTTATATTCGCAAAAGTTATAGATTCAACTTAATATGGCTATTTTATTGATTATTTAAGCATAACAAATTTTATTAAATTTTATTTTTGAAAAATTTCTCAGTTTTGAAACCATTTTAAAGTTTTTGGATATGCAAGTTTTGATCTGAGTTGAACTTCAGATTTCAACAGAAAACCTCTCTAAGTCTGGGGAAGTTGAGAAGATTTCTTGGAAAATCTTCTTAGAAAGTCTATTGAACCGAATAGTATATATAGGGTTTAGTACTTCTTGAGAAGTCTTATAGTGCATTTTATGTTAGATGAAAAGTTTTCTAAACCGAAAATATTTAATTAATTGAAAATTTGGTCTATTTATATAAAGAAAATTCACACATTATCTATATTTCTTTCAAATGGCTGCAACAAAAATGTAATGTTTCTCACTCTTAAAATCTCAAACCTCTCTCTCTAATATTTTTAAACTTGAAAACACCAAATTTTATATCAATTTCTCATCTTTTTGTCTCATATCTTTATCACTAGTTTATCTTGTTTTTGCAGGTTTTTAATTTCACTATTTTGATCTTTCACTCCTTTAAAGGTGGATCAATAAATATTAGATATGTATTTTTGTGTGTTTACTATATGTTAGATTCGAAAAACCATAGTTCAACCTAATGTGATTGTTTTATTTATTATTTAAGTAGAAAATTAATATCTTTGAAGTTTTTCAATGTTTTGAAGCCATTTTAATTTTATGGATGTGCAGGTTTTCCAGATCTGAGTCGGAATTTGGATTTCATTAGCAGACTTATAGAAAGAATTTTTCTAAACTTGTCGAAATAATTTTCAGTAGACTTCTCGGCAGACTTCTTGGCACTAATCTTAGAAGCCTTCTCGAGTTAAGTGTGAAATTAAAATTAAAATATAAGAAAGAAAATTAAAATTTAAGCAAACTTCTACCTTGAATCAGAAGACTTCTCTTGAATTCTTTCGTTAGAAGACTTCTCTTGAAGTTTTCTAACTCGCAGTCAAATTTCACTGAAAATTTTAGTTCTCATTTATGGTTAAGAGACTCTTGTTTAATAGTTTATTTTATATTTTAAATATTATATCCACTTTGTTTTAATCTATTAAAAAGATTTGTTTATGCTTAATTCATTCACTCATTTTCTTGTGGTTATAAACTATTTCATCATTGTAAATATACTGTTATGATTTTGATTGTGCAAATTAAAAGGGAGACTTATAAAAATATAATAGTTGACAAAAGATCAACATAACAAATATAACAATAAGTTCATAACACAATAATACAAATTCCAAAACATGACAATAAGTTCATAACACTAGATATGGATATATATAGAAATTTGAAGTTACTTAAATCTTATGAAAGTTAAAAAGTATATCTTATAATCCAAGAAGATACATTCAACTTGATATTCTTAAAGTTAATTAATACTTTTACAATTTAAAAAAAAACATATTTCGAAGTACTTAACACTATTAAAAATACAAGTTTACTAACAGATAAAACTTCTTCAAAAGTCTTCTCCCAATAGACTTTGGGAGTGATTGGTTGGGCTAATTAACTAATGACTTTAGCTTTATTTTCTATCTACAACCATATAATTTACCAATCATGCTTTAAGTAGTTTTTAAAGCTAAAGTCAAAAATTCTATAGACTAAATTTTACAGTAAAATTTCTACAGTTACAGTCCAACCAATCGCCCCCTTTATAAGAAGTTTTCTCTTATCTGAATTTTTAGAATTCAAAACTATTTATATATGTTCAATTATATTATTGTACATAAGTTAAATTTTAAGTATATTTTATGTTCATATTTCTATAACTATTTTAAGTATATTAATTTGATATTTATAGTTTATGTAAAAATATATATCCATATAGTTTCCATTTACGCTTCACAACTAGACCACTAGAAGTTCATCAGTCGCAAATAACCGATGACGCATTTAGGAACACTGCTTTCAGATACGCGACCCGAGTGTGAGAATTAGAGAATTAGAGAGAGTTCTTGGATGAGATTATGCTTGAGACTATCAAAGAGAATAAGATAGAACTGAGAGAGAGAGAGTTTAGGGAAGAAGGATAAGCTTTATTCCCATACTGATTTAGTTGTTACATGAGTTCTATAAATATAATAGAGTGTTGACAAATAGTACAATATGAACTAATAAACAATGGAGCTCTGGTCTGGGTCAGGGCACGTTCAGCTAGACGGAAAGGGACAGCTCCTTCTTCTCTTCTCTTCTTGCCAAGACATGTGATTTTGGTTTGGCATAAAACCCCAACAGTTCCTCCTACTTGCTTCGACATGTTTATTTAACTCCAAAGCTTAAGGAACCTTAGACCAGATATTTAAATATCTGCTCCCTCCTTTACTTGGCTTTCAACACTTCATTGTACTTCATTGCACTTCGCTGCACTTTACTGCACTTCATTGCACTTCACTTTATTACTACTGTTCTTGTTTATTGCTTCATCTCAACACTCCCCCTCAAGCTTGACCATGTGTAACAAGTCAAGCTTGGAAGCCATGAAGAATTCCTTCAT